AATTGTTGAAGATGATGTGTTAATGTGTTGATTTTGGTTCTTTCTTCTTTTTGGATGTGTACATTGATTACAATAAATTGTCCTCTCAGGACTGCTTTTGCTTTGTCCCAAAGATTTTGGTGTGTTGTATTTTCATTCTCGTTTGTTTCTTGGAACTTTGAATTCACGTTTGATTTCTTCTTTTACTCAGTCACTTTTCAGCTGGGTGTTGTTCAGTTTCCATATATTTGACTTTTTTTCCTTAGTCCTCTTGTTGTTGATTCCTTGTTTTATAGCATTGTGGTCTGAGAAGACACTCTGTAGAATTTTGATGCTTATAAATTTATGGAGCCTTGCTTTGTGACCTAACACATGGTCAATTCTGGAAATTGTACCATGAGCAATGGAGAAGAATGTGTATTGTGCTGTTGTTGGATTGAATGCTCTGTATACATCTATGAGATCAAGTTGGTTGATTGTGTTGTTTAGTTCCTCTGTAGCTTTGTCCAGTTTCTTTCTGGTTGTTCTGTCCCTTTTCAAGAGTGGTGTGTTAAAATCTCCCACTATAATTATAGATTTATCTATTTCTTTCTTCAGTTCCAGTAAGATTAGCTTCATGTATCTTGATGCTCTTTCATTGAGAGGGTAGATATTTAGTATGGTTATGTCGTCTTGCTCAATTGACACTTTGATCATGAGATAGTGTCTTTCTTTGTCTCTTATGCTGGTTTTTATCTTAAAGTTTACTTTGTCACAGATTAGTATTGCCACTCCTGCTTGTTTATTGTTTATTATTGGAGCAGACTTATAGGATCCACCCTTTCATCGATTGGTGAAATGGGATTGTAACCATGGCAATGAAACAATATATGATGAGATGAATGTAAAACTAAGTTAAAAAAAAACCAAAAAACAAAAAATATCTCTTTCTCTGTACTGTGGGAAAGCTGTCCCGCCTTATGGCCAGGCTGAGAAATGAAGTTGGGACAGGAAGAGCGAGAGGGATAAATGTGTAGTTTTCCACCGCTCTGTCTCTCTTATTTTGCTGAAAGTGCCATGAGCTGGCCTGGCTTTATCCCTGCCCTCTAAACTCTGCCTGGGCTGGGTAGTCACTGAGGCGATTCAGACTCAAGATTCCTAACTTGCCCGTATCTTCCTTAATATTGTGATTTTTTTCAACTGCGAGTGCGTGAAACTGACGTTCTTGATTGTATGGTAGATCCAGAGCTCTGGAGTTGTTCTATGAGCACTTTATTCATGAGATTCCCCCTTCTCACCAGAGCGTACTCTACCTGGTTTCGGTGGCTGCAGCCACAACCAAAAGTCACCCTTTGATTCTAGTAATGATCGTATATTCCTGAGTGTTTTGGTGTACATTCAAAATAAATAAATAGATAGATAGATAGATAGATAGATAGATAGATAGATAGATAGATAGATAGATAGATGGATGGATAGATGGAATAGAAGCAAATACTGTTAAATGATGATGCATGAAGAAGACTGTAATCCTTGCAATGAAACAAAGTATGATAGGTTACATGGGAGAACATAAGTTTTACAGTTATTCTATCACTTAATTCACAATAAAAACTTAAAAGGAAAAATCACCTGTTGAGGTAGGAAGCTGTACCATGTACTTGTGTTCTTGGCTGTGATCCAACACTAATAAAGACAGCTTCAAGTCTTTTCTCTTTTTGGGAAATGTAATCACTTTCCTTTGTTGACTTGTAATAAGTGAGTTAAGAATTCACCATTCCTTTACTTCTGTAGAAACCAAAAACTTTTATAAAAAACTACTTGTATGTTTTTCTCATATCATGACATTCAAATTACTGTCAAAAAATCGTCAGTATTCACTCAACTGATGCAACTAGATAAATGACAAACTTTGTTCATAATAAAAATTCACTCATGCCTGAGCCGGGTTCCAAGATGCCAAAATGGAAATAATGCTACTTATTCAAGCAAACTGTACAGTGATGGCGGGGGAGGTGCTCAGAACACGTCAAAAATATTCTCTGTCATCTTCTTGCCAGTCTGGGAAGTCTTCATGAAGCTGTTTTATTACCTGTTTATTCACTCAAGTCCTGTTATCTTCCATTTTTATTTTATTTCCTTTACTTTTTTCAGTGGAAAGCCAACAGCATGGAGTTTCTTACTCTTGCATCTTGATGTTGATAGCTACAGAATAGAGAAGAACTGCCCTGTAGAGTCTCTAAGGCTGGAAAATTATTTTTGCTTGGATCCAATGTCAAGACTGGAAGCAGCCGTCATGAAATCAAAGGACACATGGCACTAGACAAATCTGCTACAGGAGACCCTTTAAAGTGTTCAAGAGCAAAGTTGTTACTTTGAGGGCTTAGGTGAGCCTGATGCACACCATGTTATTTTCAGTAAGTTTGCATTGAAAGTTGGACAGTGATTAAGAAAACCATAGAAGAAATGATGCATTTGAGTTATGGTATTGGAGAAGAATATTAAAAGTACCATGGACTACCAGAAGAACAAACAAGTTTGTGTTATAAGAAGTATACATTGTATGTAAAGACTTCATCTAGCATACTTCTGACTCATTATTTTCTTGTTGTTGTTTAGTGTTGTTGAGTTGATTCTGACCCATAGTGACCCTGTATAAGGTTTCCAAGGAGTAGCTGGTGAGCTTGAACTGCCGACCTGGCAGTTCAAACAGCCTTACAGTCTGGCGCATTAATCCATAGCACCACACCAGGACTCCTGACTTATTAAGCAGGACCAGATCCTGGAGAAAGACATCCTGCTTCTTGGTTGGTAAAGATGAAGGTCAGCAGAAAAGAGGAAGACCCACGATGAGGTAGACTGAGGCTGTGGCAGTAGCAATGAGCTAAACAGATTGTGAAGAGTACGAAGGAACAGGAAGTATTTCATTCCACCAAGGATATGGTCATTATGAGTCAGAAACATCTCAACGGCAATTAACAACAATCTTTGTGGACACACACAGCCTAGTCATTTTCCTCCAGTTTGCACTGATGGGATCAAATTGGAGACCATTTTGTTAGAAACCCAGAGTTTAATTACAATGCTACCATGGCTCCTTAGTGGATCCTTTTTTTGTTTAATTTTTTTTTTTTTTTTTTATCGTGAATTGAGTGGTAGTTTACATAAGAGAACATCAGTTTTACACTCATCCTATCTTTGTTTCATTGCAATGATTACAAACTATTCCATGCATCTTCATTCAGCAGTATTTGCTAGCATTCCCTCTATTTTTTTTCTTTTCTTTTATGTACACCAAAACACTCAGCAACATACAATCATTCCAACAATGAAAGGGCATACCCTACAAGCCTGACCCTGTGCCATCAGCACATAGCCTTTCTCTCTCCATGAGTTTAGAGTCCCCAGCCTCTCCATCTCCATGACATCCTCTGTGCCACAATCTCTGGCATCACTGCTTCTCTGAATAGGGTCTCACACTCCACTCCTGCTCATCTCTTTTGATGGTCTAGGGTCCTCCCCTCCTGGACTGCAAGATGAACCCTTAGTGGATATTTTAAGGGAATTAAGTTTCAAGAGTAAGACACAGAATTTTATTGTAAAGCATCATATGACACAACAGAGAAACAAAATACACAACGTGGAATAAATGAAAGGTACAAATACAATTTTCAGTGCCGACACACACTCCATGCACCAACTCACACCTGAATCCCTGAGTTGTTTTCTATTTTAATCAAGAAGCTGGGTGGATAGTAGTGGTGGTGGTGCTGTGCTATGGAGTCAGTTCCAACTCATAGTGATCCTGTATAGAGTTCCTGAGGCTGTAGATAGTTACATGAACAGAAAGCCTCAGTTTTGTCACTGGTGGACAGTACCCCTCAAAACTAACCACCTTTAAATGAAGTCCCATGAGGATGTTAGCAGTAGGTACAGACTATTTTGAGACACTAAAATGGGACCCATTTCTTATCCTCCCACATATGGAGTCTCCTTTAGAACCTCAGATTCATGGTTCAGGAATGTCAACACACATACTAGGAGACAAATGATGTTCTCACATTAAATATGGAATTGGAGTCCTTGTAAGTTTCTTGTTCTACATGATAAGTGAGACTCAAAAGTGAAAAAAATAAAATTTAGGGAGACCTTCCTATATATTTATTTTGATAAACCAGATTACAACTTCTTAAGATTGTATTTTATGATAAACCAGATTACAATGTTTTTGTTTGTTTGTTTTTAACTATGATTTTCAAATTCACCTTCTGATGTATAAACTTCTTCCCTTTCCTTTGTGCCTTAACCAGGACATTTTGTTCTGTATCAATAAGAAGGAGTTTATTCCCCCCTGTTAAGTTCTTTGATTTGAATACTCTTTTAAAGTGTCATTTAGAAAAAGACAGTTTCTAAGTTTGGTATGTAACGTCATTAAAAAGGGGTAACATCGACTTAGTTCAAATCATAACGAAACTTATTGGGAATCTGCGGATCAGTTGGTGAGCTTGAAATGCCCACTTTGCTCTTCAAACAAACTTTGCAGCCCAGTGCATTAACTCACAGTGCCACATAAGGACTTCTGTTAGTGAGGTAACCTGGTAATCATACATCTCAGACAAACTTAATATCAAGTCCAGCCCCAAATTTAAAGACACACTTGTGGGGAAATGAGCCCTTTGTTTTTCTAGATTTTCTTGGTGGGTAACAAACAGGACACCCATCTCCACATCATCAGGGTCTCTGATGCATTCTTAGAGTGACGGCGCCTTGTGCCATGTGTCCTGTCTAGGCTTCAGGTTTCCATAGTCAGCAGCTAGCACTCATGAGAGCAGCCAAGACATGATCTATTTTCATCCAAACATAGACCTAGTTCATGTTGTTTTGCTCACAGGAGAGACACACCATCCCCTTTCCACACTAATGTGCTCACCACAGAATTTGCATGTTGTTCCCCTGGGAAAACCTGCCTTTGCAAACTTGAGATAAAAAGTCAGCTCTTATCTGACTTTACTTATCAGGACTCCTCAGTTCAGCTTCTCAGAATGATGGTCCCTGCTCAGCTCCTGGGGATCTTACTGCTCTGGATCCCTGGTGAGGACCTAGGAGAGATGAGAAAGAGAGGGGGTTGGGAGGGACAGCTTTGGGGCATCATTTGTTCACTGCTGTATTCTGTAGTTGTGTGGAATGCGCACATTTTATCCTTCAGGAAGGACATAAAACACTTTTATTAGTAGATGTGAGGAAGAAATGAGAAGGAGCCAGGGTAGTTTAGTCAAACTGCATATTTTCAACTATAGGAATCAAAAATAATGAAATTAAAATTAAAAAAAAATATTATATCCACAAATTAATAATAGCAACAGAAAGAGTCATAAGAATGACTGACGATGTTTGTATATAACTTTGACTTCTCTCTTATTATTTTAGCAACAAGTGGGGATATTGTGATGACCCAGACTCCACTCAGCCTGTCTATCACGCTTGGACAACCAGCAACCCTCACCTGCAAGTCAAGTCAGAGCCTTGTATATAGTGATGGAAAGACCTATTTATACTGGTTCCAGCAGAAGCCAGGCCAAGCTCCACGTCCACTGATCAATTTCGTTTCCAATCGGTACACTGGGGTCCCAGACAGGTTCATCGGCAGTGGGGCAGTTACAGATTTCACTCTTAAAATCAGCAGAGTGGAGGCTGAGGATATTGCAGTTTATTATTGCTGGCAATTTGTAGCGTATCCTCCCACAGTGATACAGTTCTGCACAAAAACTTGTGATGGTGTGGCCCAGCTGCCAAACATGTGTGTTTTGTCTGCAAACAGATATTGCTCACTGTCTTGTCTGATAAAGCGGATGTTGGAGAACTCAAGGCACTGGGTTGTAATTGTGGGTAGGGTTTGAGGCAGGTTTACATGGGCAGGATTATATCTCCCACAAGTGCATATTCATGGTTCAGTGTTGATATCCATAAACTTATGAGTTGGTGATTTAGACACAACTCAGTCATAAAGGGAGTAGCACATCACATGATTGCTTGATGTCCTTTGGCCAAGGTTATTTGGTTTTGTCAAGGGTTAAGGAAGTCTCTGTGGCCACTTGTGGCTGGTTGAGCCACAAGCTTAGTGGGTCAAATCCAGTAGCCGTTCCTTGAAACCCTAAACAAGGTTTCTATGAGTTGGAACTGACTTGATGACATTTAACAACAATAGTAAG